AATAAAAATTAATTTACTAACATTTTCTATCAGACACATCATTTTCTAATTTTTGGATATTAAATACTTTATGTGGTGCAAAGTAGTTTCATCAACTGTATATTCGAAAGACCAGATTATGTGGGTTGTAAATGATGTTTGGAATAATAACAATACCAATTTATTTATTTATAACTATTTTTTTAATAATCTATAAATTTTATGCTTTTAGCAGCTAAAAATACAAGGTGTGATGCAAAGCAATTTTTGTACGTGTAGCACTATAAAAATGCAATTTTGCAACATGTTTGAATTATAAATTCAGTAATTCGACCACTTATATTCTCACACCTTGAGTCAGTTTCATCTGCCTGTATGGAAGAGCATGGTTTTGAGAGCACCACAATTGCTTATATCTTGAACGCAAAAGGTAAAAATGCTTATGGTTCCTGCCTTTGGTGCACCACATATGATAATGTTTATGAGCATGGCAAACATTGGATAAATGAGCTTGTAAAAATTGTTAAATCAATATTTTCACTCTTTCAGTAGATGACTCAAAACAATGTTATGGTATTGGTGGTTTTGAAGCCTAGGGGGCAAAAATCAATTTAGGAATCATTACGGAATGAGGTATTTGAGAAATAACTTTTAAGAAAAATATGCTCCAAGATAGTGATACAAAAAATTTGACTCTTTCATGGTGAGTTTTGGCTACTCTAAAATAAATGTAGATTATTATGCGTACTTCAAAACATTCTTAGATGGTAGGTATAACATTCTTATGCTCTATATGGATGATATATTGATAGTTGAGCATGATGCTACATTAATTAGTAGTTTGGGAAAAGGAGTTGTTTGGCTCATTTAATATGAAAGACCTGGGGTCAGCATGATAAATTTTAGGTATGCAGATAGCTCATGACAAAAAAAAACTAAGAAGTTATGGTTGTCACGAGAAGTACATTGAGCAGGTCTTAAACAGATTCAATATAAAGAATGTTAAGCTAGTTAGCACACTTCTTGCTAATCACTTTACACTAAGTAAGAAATCTTATTTTTCTACCCAAAAAGAAATAGAAGAAATAGTAATTGTTTCTTACTCTCAATAGTTTGG